TAGCATGATGACAGCATGATTGCTATATCACTGACGTTATATTTTTCCCAAGGGATCGATCCCAATTTGTCCGCAAGCTGGAAATGGATGGGTCACATGTTTTCTATTTCCGTCCTAACTGTTCAGGAATTTTGGTGTGGATTAGGCGTTTTTTGTGTGGAATTCGGTGAATTGTGTGTTGTGCTCGGCGAAGTTTGTGTGGAATTCGGGATTTATATTGTGTTATTGGGTCGTGTGTGTTTTTCGTTAAAATTTGTGTTTTTTTCGGTCGTTTCTGTGTGTATTTCGTTATTTAGTGTGTGACAAAAAAAGGTCCTCGAAGCGCGGTGGGAGCGAACAAGTTAATGATATCCTCCATCTTTATGCATACTAATAGTGACGTAGAATCATGTGCACCATCACATGTAGACACTTGTAGGAACTACGCAAAGCAGCTTTCCGGAGTTTTCCTCAATTCTATAAAGCTTCATAGGTTATTTTAAGGATAAAGAAAAATACTCGTCTAATCTCCCTAATGGCCCCGGCAAACGTTCGCGTGAAATTTGCACACTAACTTGCAGAGTGCAAATACGCGACCATGGGGCTGTGACTGCCTCTGGCCGCTCCCCCGACGGTGCCGCCTTCACTTCGTTTGGCGTGGAGCCAGCGTCTGATACCGGAGCTTAGTAGGCCACGCCTAGCTGTGCATCCGGCCGGATTTGTACCAGTGGCTGGTCAACGATATCTTAGAAGTACCAGATAAATACTACTCGTATAAAGACACTCCTGTGCAGCTGGCGCATTGGTGCCAGGCGTGCTCTTTAGATCCACTCCTTGCCTTCACAGCCACGCTTTTCCGAATGTTCAACAGATAGAACAACTGAACTAACACAAATGAATTTCAATCAATTCAATGATTCGTATGCCTCTACCGTTCCTACAGTACTAGCCCCAACGCTACAACGGCGAATAACCCATTGGACCACTTCACCATGACCTAGTCAAGATCATCCACGAAGTCCACGAATTTGGCTCCCTCTAGTCTGCGGATAGAGAAAAATGTTTCTCCGTTATCGACGATATAAAATCCGTTGCTTTTACTCCGGAGTACTTTGCTTTCTATTTTTACGAAGTCATCTCCGAACTCTTCCTATTTAGGGCGTGTTCAATGAATATCCGTGCATTTTCGGATATTTGGCCTTCGTATATATCTTGGTGCAAAATGTCTGGAAATGCGAAATCATAATCATTGAGCACGTGACGACATCTCAAACAGAATTACTTCCACAACAAATATACTTTATAATATAATACAGCAATGATATATAATTTGTGCACGGGTCTACTTGATTGGTCATAGCGCACACTCAATTCGCCGTATGACACTCACGCAAAAGCTCCCAAGTCCGCTAAGTGGACAGACGACAGACGACTTGAATGCCGAGTTTGTGGTGCTGTATGTGAAGCCGGCTGCTAAGAGCTAATACATAGCAAGTGGTGGCAAGCAGCTCAAGAGCAAGGGGTGGTCCGACATTCTTGCCCGTCTGCACGGTTGTGGGAACCTTACCACCACCAGTCAACTTGCTGGTGCGCGATTTTACTGAATTTTCGGTTTTTAGACCCCCCTTTTCTTAATTACAGCCGGTTCGTCGGGGGGGCGGTCGGGTTTGAAGGGGAGATAGATCAGCGGTGATGGGGGTTGGACTGGCATCATGGAATCACGCTGGAATAGACTCAAGGAAGATTACGTGAATTACAAGTGGCTTATGCTGAAGTTCTCCGGCGAGGGCTTGGTCGGTGTCAGTGACGATGCATGGGCTGAACTCGACAAGCACTCACGCAGCATGCCGTTGTCTCGCTTCCGAGACCGTCCCTTTCAACATTACGACACCATTACAGAGATGATTGGCGACCGGTGACTTCATTCACGGCATGCCCTCGGCGCAGAGCGACGTCTACGTTAGGGCCAATTCACAGTAACTTTTTTCATCGTTTCTGACACCCAAAAGCCAATCAGAACACAATGCGTCGTTTCCAATTCCAAAAGACCTCTTGGAGGTCTTTTGGGATATTTACGTTGTCATTAGTGCTCTGGAGCCGTCAAAACACGACGAAATCACAGTCACAGTAAATCAGTTGCATCAAAATGATTAGTCTGAACTAAACATGCGCAATAACCAATGATTCACCTCATCCAGTTCATGTTTCGCCATGCCAATGCATATGCAGTTTGCGCCATCCTCCTCCTCGGCCTCCACCAAGCGACCATCACCGCCCTTCTCTCCCCAAACCGCAACATACCTCACCGCATGCCCCACCTACACCACACAGAGCACACATCCCACATCCTACCGCACGCACTACACGCACGCACCACATTCACCGCATTATTAACATTGTTCCTATATTATATGTTGTACAACACGACAGCATTGTTATCGGAATACTGTATCTGTACGATGTCATGTCGACATCGAAAGTTGCTTGCCATGCATCTAGCTTCGTACAAGTCGCTGCGCTGCTCCATGAGTATCCAGACGAGTCGACGTGGAAGTTGCGGAAGTGGTTTGGAGGTAGCCAGACTGCCTGGAGGGAAGTGCGGAACTTGTTCTCGCCTTGCAACTCAGCCCTGCTTGGTCATGATGGCAGCCAAATGTGTGAAGTCCTTTCAGGACACTCCAGCCAATCATACAAATTCATTCTTGGGAGCCAGTTGAATTCTATTAACTGGTAATTATCTCCAAAGGGAAGTCCTAGGTGTAATAACACGATGCAATTATAAAATATCAATATTGACCAATCAGTTGCAAGTTGACGAGAACTGGCAAGTACGATGGTGTCGAAATAAAGTGTCAAAGTAAGGCGCTCACACAGACGATCGGTGATTTGCCGAAATTTAACCTTGCATTCAGTATTGGAATTTACAGCATCGTTGAAACAAAAATATTTATTTATAGAGCCACATTATTTGTATGCAGTAATTATATTTTACAGGTCATACTGGATTTGAAAACAGGCGTAACCCTCTTTAAAATAGTACTACATCCACCATAAAGTATCGAAGGTGTCCAATCATATCAATTCTTGATTTCTATTGGGTAGTGCAGGGTGAATTACTGGTATGTCCTTATTTAAAAATACCAAAGTCAATAGACCTCATGTTCATTGTTGGAACGTGTTCAGTGCCGATTTATGCAATAAATGATGGAAAACCATATATGTAAAAAAACTTGAGCGGATCTTCCCATAGATCGGAGAGTTCATATATTACTGTACTTTGTCTGTTACTCGGTAACAGACAAAATTGATCAGTGAATGGATCATTGGGTCAATCTTATGCACCATATGATTTTTTTAATTGGGTGGGTTAGTGCATCTCCAACGGTATTTTTATTTCTGTTTCAATTCAAAGTTACGGATATAGGATAGAAACTCTTGCACTATCCGGAGGGTTTGTTGCTATTTCATGCGAAAATAGAAATTCTGCGGGACTTAATTTCTAAAAATTCCGGATAGTGCCAAAATAGCAACCGTAAAAACGAAGTTTGACTTTAACCTATGCTTTAGCAATAGGTTAGAATTTACCGTTAAAAGAACCAGAAAACGGCTTGGCACGTGGCTCAACGGTTAGAGCGACGGCATCAAACGCGGGATTGAACCCTGGACCCCTTCCTCTATGGCAGTGCTTAGTCCTTTTCCCAAATGCAGATTTTTTTAGCATGAATTTATCTAAAAATACCAAACTATGCAGTTCGTACGTACTACGTGGGAACACGTATATAGTGGTATCTCACCTAGAAGAGCGATTGTCGCCTGTTGATTGGGGGCGGCATGCCTTCAAGTCTTATTGCGCGTCGAGTTCGATACTGTGCTTGATTGCGAGTCCGGCGCCGCGACATTTCCACCGACATACTACTGTAGCGTGCTAGTATACCCTGGTAGTAAATACCGTCATCCCCGCGAAGTGGCATCCACGCCACGTGAGCATTCGTCAGTGCACAGCACAGTCTTGAGATGCTCTCGAATTTTGACTTGTTCTGGTCGAGAACTACTTCGGTCACATGTGCTCTGCGTGGAATATCATGTCAACGATCTACAAGTGGAACGCTTTGGTTGGATCGAGCGGAACTCATGCTGATACCTTGATAACCCATGTCGACAAGATCACCCTCCGTATTTGGCCAGCGATCTACACCCTCGTCGTTTTCGGGCATGTCGAGCTCGCTGCCCGACTTCTTGAGTGTGACTTAATGGACATCCCTATGCCGCATGAACATCGTGATGTCCAAGACTGACCCAGGGCAATGATCAAACACTGCGACACCGGGGTATGCGACAGAGCATTCGAGCTTGAGTCCATAGAGCTTGTGCTTACCAGAGAAGTAGTGCTTCGCTTAATCAAAGCGGCCGGTCGGACGGTACGAGGGCTAAAACTTGACGTCTGTAGCGTACAGAGCTGCCGGGTAATGGCTAAAGACGGTACCCTTGAGAACTTGTTGGGTCATCGACAGAGGATTGACGTAGTGATCGTACAACACCGCCTCGACCAGGCGAATGACACGGTGGATCATCTTTTCAAACGTTGGAGTCTTCATCTCAAAGTCCAAGGCGTGCTTGGCCCACGCGTTATACTGCTTGATAACGACAAGGGTTTATGAAGCCTTGGGGATGTCGTTGATTTGCCACGACCAAGCATCCACGTCGTCACCATAGCCGATTCAACAACCGCCGAAATTGAGTCGAACTCAGAAACGTGAGGTTCATCATAGTTGTAAGAGATACGTTGCCCCCTCGAAGGTAGAAGCGGTCCATGACGGGTGTTGGCGATTCGTTAATGTCATCGACTTGCTGCGTGCACTCGCGATAAACTTGATTCATCTCTTCGATATTGATGTTTTCGTCCTCGATGTCCTGTTGGAGTCGTTTAACAACAGCCAAGGGGTCCTTGTTGTTGATGGGAATAAATGAATTGTGATTAAGACCGATGTGCATTGGTGCCGTGTTATGCAGAATCGTGACAAGGCATGCAGTTATGTAGAAGTGTGGCATATTCAGTGTAACTTCGAATTCACAGAGTTATATTGTATTAGTCAACTCTTATTCTTCCGCGACACAGTCACAGAACATTTGTCCAATCTCTACCTCATTTTCTCGATAAATTCGTATTTATTCAGTCCTGGATCATCTTCATAGTTAAATCATACTAACGTGATCGACCATTGATCGGCCAAATGACCATCGATCGGCCAAGGTGTTTCGTCCAATTGAAATTAAAACGATGTTTCATTGGACAAAATAAATCCTTGTGATAAGTTTTACCTGTATAATATGATGGAGGTAAAC